AACTCTTCCTGCCCCTTTGTCTCCTTGTTCTACACTTATAGACCTTCTATTAAGTTTGGCTCCGTTCATAGTTTATGTGAAGACTGCCCACTAGTTGGTTTGGTTGTCCTAGCTTAGCCTTGAACACTTTAGGCAGAGCCAGCATCATGTTTCATGTTGTATGATCTTTGAGGATAGGTTCTATGTCTCCAAATTGCATAAGCTCTTCATCTAAAAACATGTCTTTGTCTTATTCGATTTTTTTTTTCTTTTGCTGATGGATTTTCTGGCATGTTCTCTAGCTCTACTTCAAATGGATCCAAAATTTGTTTGAATTCAATGAACTTTTGATCAAGGATGTCCTTTTTTATAAGACTTCTTTGATCTCCTTCTGTTGTCCCCTTGTCCATTTGATATTTTTCTTCTCCATCGATGGACTCTTTTCTAAATAGGCCTCAAGAGGAGTAGGATCTCGTTTGCTCATCCAAGTGGCATACTTATTTTGTTCTCCCCGTTTTTGGGTTCTATTGACGGGTTGGTACCATGTCCCAAAAGGGAACTTTGGATGTTGAACATGGTGCCTTTTTTCATCATGGACTTGAGGCGGATTTACTATCATAGATCCAACCTTTGTTATGATCTCAAACCTCCCTTCCATTTTCTAATTTTTTGTTTCCTGTTATTCCTATCTCTTGATCTTCTGCCAAATATTTTCCTTAGTCATCGATGGTCCAGCAAAATGGTCCATCCTTTGCAGCTTTTCTTTTTTGGCTTGGCCTTGGTAACTAGTGTTTCCTAGGGTCCTCCGGGTTTTAGCAAAAATAATAAGGACCATGCCTATTCTGGTACCTTTCTTGTATTTTGAATATGTTTGGGTTTGTACCATCAAATATTTTCTCAAAGTCAATGTAGATCTGTACATCTCCTTTTCCTCTGGTGTTGAATTGGAGACCATTGTCTATATATTCTCTTATAACATTATCTAGTGGTATAGCATCTGGCTTGACCATTTCTTTGGTACATTTGAAACACATAACCAGTGTCTCTTCCTCTCTGGGACCAAGTTTGCTGTGAACTGGTATCCTCATCTTGGGAATAATCCTTTTTTTTGCCAACTATCAAATTGACAACCTTCTTATCTTCCTGCAAATTACCAAAAACCATATTAATATTAACTTATTTAGGGAAAGAATCTTTGTCCACACCCATGGTTTCTTCTTCTGTTTTGTCATACTTAAGCATCCCTTTTTGGATTAGGTTCTGCGCATGATTTTCAAAAGTAATGCAGTTCTTAGTTGAATGCATAAATGAATTATGCCATTTATTATTTTTTTTCCTTTTTATCTTTTGCTAGTGGGACATTATGTCTTTAAGACAGAACAATGAATTTTTGGTTGATTAACTCATCAAACAAAGTATCAACCGTTGATAGGTCAAAGGAATACAGTCAAAAGGTTAAGAGTGCATCATTCTTGAAAGAATGGCTGGAGGCATGTTAATAGGATCCTCAATGTTTTTTAAGGTGTCACACATAATTGGTGACTTGCCTATGATTTATGCTGCATCTATTTCAATTTCTCCATCGAAGTCTTTAAAATAACTTCCCCATTAACTATTTTTCCTCTATTTCTCTTCCCTGAGCAGCATCTCATATCTGGTGGCCCTAATTAAGAGTTCAAAGAGATCCTTGAACTCCATTTGAATTCAAAGTTTAAATCATTCTAGGCAATTTTGACCCATTCAACTTCAGGCAAGTAAAACTGATATTTATTTTTGCCTTTTCTAAATCTTTCAATGTACTGTTCTGCAGATTCATTAAATTTATGCCTTAATCATGATAGTTCTGACATCGAAACCTTTGGTTCATTTTTACAGAATTGAGTATGAAACTGTTCTTCCATTTCTTGCCAATTTTTAATTGAAATGGTAGACAAATTTATGAACCAATCAAATGTTGTCTTGTTTAAGGATTGTGGGAATATTTTCATCTTCAAATTCCCATTATTTCTGTCTTTCCCATATTAAAAAGTGAATATGTCTATGTGTTCTATGTTCAATTGATTCTCTTTACCAGAGTAAAAATAGAATGCTGGAATTTTATATCCCATTAAAAATTTCTCATAATTAATCCATGGTAGGTATAGTTTCCTAAACACAGGCCTTTCAGTGTTTCTAACATCAGAACCATACAAATTTTGAATCATTTATACTAGTTGATTCCTGTTAGAGGCTAAGGTTTGGTGGCCTTCAAAGTTTTCAAACTAGTTAAAGGGCTACCTCTACCCTTGGGTTAAATTCCTCTATGTGTAGCATGTCATTTATGGCACCTTGTAGAAAATTCAGGGGCCATCTTTGACCCATTTCTACATCTAGTATTTCTTCCTAGGAAAAAAATTAGGGAGCATTTTAATAGTTTCTCCATTGAAGACCATATTGAAATGATTTTGGTGTAGTGAGCCTTGTCTTTTGTTGGTTACCATTGGTATGGTTTCTGATTTTCTAAAGAAAGCACCACAAGACCGGTGTTTCCTTGTTCTACTGTTTGATTTCTAATTATGGCAATAGATTTTTGATTAATTGGTCCTAACATCAGTGTTTGGATATTCATTAACTAATGCATGCCACTAACTAAATGTTGCCTAATACTAGAATTAGGATTATGCAGTATCTGTTTTAGGTTTTATACAAATTCTTGCATTTGCAAACCATCTTGATCACTAAATTGGCCATTTTCTAGATTTGTAAACTCCACAGGGTTAGTATTTGAACTTACTTCACGATAGTCACTGTTTTGCGTCATTTCCACAGTTTCATTAGTACCAAACACAATTTCATCTTGTTTCTTTGTTCAAACAATTTTCTTGATCCAAATTAGTAATGTTGTCCCACCGAGAGTGCCAAAATATTATTGCTCCAAAATCTATTGAGGTCGACAAAAATATCCTAATCGACAGACAATTTTCAAGCGACTATTTGCGAGGGGTTCAAATGTCTTGTTTCAGGACTTCCTTAGATGAAATTAATGAATAAACACACAATAAATAAAACTAATAAAAGAGGATTCCTTTATTAATTATATCAAAGTGACTTCAATTATAGAAAAAATGAATAAACAACTTTGGTTGCTAATGATGCACAAAGTTAATAATGCACAATCAAATCAGTTAAATGTGTGGTGTAAAACAATTAATGAAACAATTAATAATAGACAAATATTGAGTGGTTGGGCTTGGGTGACCTAAATCATTAAAGGCGGTAGTCGAAAAACTCTATTAATGAGAGAGTATAAGCTAGTGGGAGAGACAGAGAGACAAAGAGAGAGAGAGAGAGAGCAAAAGTACACTCAATGTGAGGTATGTGAGATCTGCCCCTATGTGTAGAGGGTTTACAATTATAGGTGCATAGCCCCAGTTAAGGCGATGATGTGAGGGTCAAACTACTAATTTATCGGGGAGAATTGCTACAATTGGGAATGAGCACTATTCTGTAGTAATGGTTATCTTGATAATTGCTCTCCCACGTGCGTTGACTCTTCTTGGACTCTTGGGTTTTGAACTGGACTAAAGCCGTGAGTTAAGCCTGGTTTGTTTTTTTGATGATTTGGGTTCAACCTATTAACTGGGCCTAGGGCTAGTCTGAATCTGAGCTCATCAGTTGCATTAGTAACTGCTTTTTAAAACTAATCTAAAAATTCCTCCTAAAATATCATGATCATGGGTCTTGTGAGGGTTTCTGTGTATCCTTTATCTTCTCTATTTTGTGTCCTTTTATAGTTACTATGTTTGACAGTTTTGCTTCCATCAACGGTTACTAGATGGTAACTTTCAGCTTGTTATTTCTTTCATTTTCAAATATAGTTGTAGATGATCATCTTCTGTCTTTCATTTAATTCTACCACATGATATTTTCTTAATGTACCTAGGACTCCAGATATCAATACACTAAATATTCCTGGAATTTTATAGTTTATGTCCAAAGAGTATGCTACAACAAACAACTTGAATGGACATCAGAATTAATGTGATTTCTATGTCAAGTTAGGTACAAAATGTTTCTGGGAAAGTCCCAAATAATGGGTTTCAAAGTTGCTGCAGAGTTGCATTCCCAAAAATATTATAAAATTACACTTTGCCTTACTGTATTTCCGACTCCAAATGTTATTGTTTCTAGAAAGTTATCATGAGTATTACACACTAAGTGGTGGTGTGACGCGGTTTGTCATATCCAATCAATTGTTGCCCATTTTCTTTATTGTCAAGACATAATTTTAAAACAAATTAGCACATTAATTTAGTTGGGCCACTTGACAAAAGCGACACCTAGAAAACGGGTCAAAATTCGAGAATAGAAAGTAGCATGTAATTTGGTATATGACTTACCTATTATCGGCCTAATGAAGTTAGCTGCATTGGTATAGCTCTATCTACATAACTATTATATTTCTATCTACCCCTAGATAGCATAATGGTGTAGTTTTCTTAGATTTAGGTTTGATTTTTACCAACCATATTGCTCTTATATGATTATGAGCGATAATTCGAATATAAATAAAGAAAGTTTAATTTCTAATACTTCATTGTTGCAATTATTTTATAAGCACTCAACTTCAATTGGAGAGTTGAATTTGGATCTCAGAGTCTAGAACAAAATTCAAAGAGAGAATTTCTCTTAAGAGTCAATGCAAGTCGAGAATTCTGCAGTTAGAATTAGGTTGCATAACATGCTCTAAAGTTTGAACAGGTAAAGCAATTAAACTCTTGTAGTAAGATTCTCAATGGATGGAGGGATTGTCCTGATGCTTAAGTCGGGCTAAAAGGGAGATATGGCAGTTTGAAATCGGTATGTTTCCAACTCAATGCTATGAAAGAGTTAATCATTAGTTAGCTTAGGTACTTGGCTCATAAAAGAAGGGGAATATCGGTTGTTAAACTCTGGCATTATCCCATATAGAAAAAAAATGGGAATACATGAATGAGTTGTTTGCTCTTTATCTGTAATATAACAGAAATGATAGAATATAACCCTAATTGTTCTTATCGATCAAACCACTCTAATAACATGGATCGAGGATGCATGTGTGGCCCCTGATTGTTGAATTTCAATCTAAATTCATAGAATCCAGACACCCAGTGAACTTGAATGTAACATCAGGCTGCGATCTGTACCTATATATTTTTATATACAAAACTAAAAGATGCCCTTTGACAAAAAAAACTTACCATTGCCTACGTGGATTACTCCCATGTAGTGCAACAGATAAAAAGAAAACCAACTCCTCATCACTTCCACCATACTCTTGATCGTTTCGCCGGCGATGATATTGGGCAACGATCTCCTCCGGCAAGACGTTGCTCCGGCAGAGGGGACAAGTTGCTTTATCTAGTTGTAACCACTGGTCAAGGCAATCCTTATGGAATGTGTGCTTACATTTTAACTTCCTAATCTCCTCTCCTTCCTCTAACATGGATAAACAAACAGCACACTCTATTGTTTGCACCCTCAATCCGGTCTTGAATCGACTCGCGGGATTTTTCTCTTCTATGAGTTTGAGGTACTGGGTGGTGGTGATCGGACGGTTGGCAGAGCCAGAGAAGCTCTTGGTGATGGAACGGATTAAAATTACTGATTCAAGAAGTAGGACAGTGAAGAAGACTGTGGCAATGGTGTAGAGGTGGGATAAGCATTCGTAGAGAGATGCCATTTGGGGCCAAGGAGAAATGAGACAATTGAACTTTGATGTGAGTTTATATTTTATATAGCCGAAACCCAGAAGCGTAGGACTGAAGTCTTATCCCAGTGGTTAAACACCGCACTTGTATTGTGGTGGTCACTAGTTCGAATTCCTACCCTTGTATTGACACTGATCCAAAAAGATAAAACCGGGAAGGGATAGTCAAGGGGTGGTGGAGGGGGACTCCGGGGCATGGTTCTGAATAACGGTGACGGGTGATATAATGGTGTAACGGATATAGAGTGTAACGGACCTTAAGTAATAATAATAAAAATCGGAGTTGTGAATTTTGTTAGTTGATTCACAACTATAGAAAAAAATCAAAATATTCTATATATTTGGACCAAAATAAAATAAATTCAATTTTTTTTGTAATTTAAAATAATTTTTTATTATATTCATGATTTTGGTATGCTAATTGCTTAATTAATCCAAATTTAAAGCAAATGAAAGAAAATTAGTTTAAGAAATTAATATCTATTTATTTAAAAATTATATTCAAAATAGGAAGTAGACAAAATAACTTTTAGATTTAGATAATTGGGATAAAATAAAAAAAATTTGTAATTGTAAATAAAATTTATTAGCTATTAAATTTGTACAAGAAGGCCCACCACGACAAATTTTTAATCTGTTTAAATCCACTCCTTCACATTATTAAAGAACACGGCATTTGTCATCTATTCATTGACTAAATTTATTGATATTGTAGAAAGAATATGCTATACTTGATTTTTGCCTTTTCAAAAGTCTGCCAACCCATTACAACGTGTCATTTCTCAAACCACAAAACTTCGCTCACCTTCTTTTTACCCGGCCATCTCTTTTGGCCATAAAACTGCCATGGATGAACAGTAAAAGCTACAAAAATAGGTCATTCATGCAGTGTAACGGACTGTAACGCTCTCATAACATCTGTTACATGTTATTACAGTGCCGTAATGGCTGTTAAAAATGTGAAATTTATTTTACCCGTTATAGCGGGGTATAACGGGATTGAAGTTCATCTTACCGTTACGTAACGGCATTACTTATTGTAATGGCCAATTTTCAAAACTCTGCTGCAGGGTATGACATAAATTCAGATATCTAGGCTGGGTTCGACCTTTGCTCTTAATTTTTACATTTGATTAATAATTATAGATATCAATATTTATTTTGTAGAATGAGTCCAATGACTATCTTGAAAAGGTTACCCATTGAAAAAAAAAAATCTATATAGGAGAAATATGGATAGGAGCAGTGCACATGGATTGTTTTTATTGGAATAAGATTGTCTTGACTCTTGTTGTCCTGGAATTTCATTGGGGTGAAAGCACAGAAAGGGGATTGAGAAGTTTTCACCCAACAAACGATTGGAGCTAGTTTCTTTTCTTGGTGCTAATAGTAACATAGTTAGAAGCTTTGAATGATCAAATCTAATTCATAGAGAAGTGGAAGAGAAAGTGCTAGAAAAGTCGTGGCTTCGAAGGTTTATGTAAATAAAACAAATGTTTGGTTTGTACGCAATTTACTTGAGTCTAGATCTACTCTAACATACTTCTTCTCAAATTTTTTGAATGGTATAAATCAATGATCTCATGATAAAAAAAAATAATATATTTAACAATTCACTCTTAATGTGACTCCTCGAAAAAAAAGGACCAATTTGCCCTTCAAATATCTCGATTAACAACAAAAATAAAATTAGATAATGATACTAATTCAATTCAAAGTTGGTAACTGAGTGGAGAAAAAAGATTACTTGTGATTGGGTTGTATGAGGAGGTGAGAAAAATAAGTGTAAGTTAAAAAGTCTTCCTTGTTAAATTTTCAGGGACCAAAGTTGCATTAAGTTATATTGTCATGCCGTGGGGCCTACGTTAATTTGAATGGCCTGTGATGTCTGATGTCTGACGCCTTTTGTCTTTTCTGTTGTTTGTTTGGCAAATTGTTTCAGCGGTAGAAAAAACAATGAACGTGTTACGTACGTCAATGTTATCCTTTTATTTACTGTAAAAAAGGATAATGGCTACGGTAAGCAACGAAAAATTTTGGCACCTAATGAACTAGATCTACAGTCGTAAATCTTTTTTTGATTAATTTATAGTAATAAATTATAAAATAATAAGGAATTATAAATATGAAATTATACACAGGTAATAATTTATTAAATAAAAAATATATGTATGGTACTAAAAATAATTTTTTTGTACCATAACTAAGCAGAAAAGTATTTGCTGCCTAGATCGATTAAAGTATGTTTGTGGTTAAAGAGTTAACTATTCTGAGTAACGATCTAAAAGTCAGGTTTCATCAGCCATGCTTTCTTTTTCTCCACACCGCCCAAAAAAAAAAAAAAAAAAA